GAGCTGGAACGGAGGGGAAGGAAACGACAAGGCAAAGTAAAAAATCGGAATATAAATATAGATGTAATCCAAGTTGAGGAAATCGAAATTCAAATTGCAGCCTCAGCAGACACAGTGTGCATCTATCAATTTTGGTATTAAATTTGGAATAATGATAATGGTGACAGGGGCCAATATGAACTCTGGACCTGGCACAGGACTGCACTGCATCATTTATAGAGCACATAGTGAGAACCTGCTGGCTTAGCATACAATTTCCTCTCAGCAAGGAAACTGTCAGGCCCAAAATGCGCGTTCATTATCAGAGGAAATTTAATAGGAAGCCTATACACAAGACTGAATTTTCCTCTTCTGTACAATTATGTGATATCAATAACATCAAAAACATTTTTAACTATCCATCCATTCGCTTCCACTTATCCTTTTCAGGGTCGCGGGGGGCGCTGGAGCCTATCCCAGCTGTCATAGGGCGAGAGGCAGGGTATACCCTGGACAGGTCGCCAGTCTGTCGCAGGGCCAACACATAGGGACAGACAACCATTCACATTCACTCGCACATTCAAACCTAGTGGCAATTTGGATTATCCAATTAACCTATCCCCACAAGCTGCATGTCTTTGGACGGTGGGAGGAAGCCGGAGTACGCGGAGAGAACCCACGCAAACACGGGGAGAACATGCAAACTCCACACAGAAAGACCCCGGCCTGATGGTGGAATTGAACTCAGGACCTTCTTGCTGTGCGGCAACAGTGCTAACCACCGTGCCACCGTGCTGCCATTTTTAACTAAAGTGCTATCAAATGAAGCACTGACAAATAAGATAGAAAGTCTTCCTTTGCTAATGTTTCACCTTCACTGTGCAGAATGACACATGCATGCACTTTACAGCAGGTACAAGTAACAAGGATGTTACTTTCAGCTGCCCCACTATGTGTTTCATCATATTATTGTGGCAAAACAAGTGACTAATAAAAGCTGAGTTAGTAATTGCTAGGTTATTTAGCATTAACTCTACTGCTCGAGTTTATATTTGTAATTTCTCATTAGTCTATTTTTTTTAAGGAAATGACTGTTAACAGTACAAAGTATGTGCATTGTAGACAATGTCGAATCATTTTGGCTAGTTGTTTACAAAGAACCTAAAGAAGACACGCAAAGGGCTGGTGTGACAGAAGAATATCCTCGGTATAGAGAGACATGGAGAAAGATGATCCACTTTGGCAACCCCTGAGCAGTAAGAAGGAGACAAATAAGATGGGGAAGAAGAATACGAAAAGTGAAATTGAGAGCTCCAGTAAACAGCTAACAAATGCAAGTTCAAGGTTTGGAACTGATCTTTTATCTCCTTTATTTGAAACAGGATAATGAGAAAACAGGCCTCGCCTAGCCGTGAAACTGCTTGTCACCCAACGTCCAATTAAAAATGGCTGTAAACAGTTCATGCAGTACTTTTGTTAAACCCTTGAATTAAAGCTGAAAGTCTACACTTCAGTCACGCTTTGATTTAAAATTCACTGTGGCGTTGTACAGAGGCAAAGTTACAAAAACTGTGTAATTGTTTAAATGCTTCTGGGCCTAATCATATCAATCCAGTTCTGAGGCTGTCTGTCCAATGTGGGCATTTTTATACTTCAGACAAATATTAAACCCTAAATTCTGATAAGGTCGTTTTGTAATCTTTTGCCCGCAGCTCAGCTTTATGACCTTCATGCAGCTGCACGCATAACTGAACACAACATAAAGGGATGTAAAGAAACACTGCCAGAGAAAGGCTTTGAGGCTACTTTGTGTTACAGAGAAGAGCTTCTAGGCTTCACCTCTTCAGACCAAGTGGTTACTGATGAGAGTTAAAAAAATACAAACAAAAAAAACGTGGCCCACCAGGCTGAATTTTAAAGCCCAAATTATGCAAAAGGGACTAGTAAATATGTGGTTGCTAAGCTTCTGTTTTTACTACTATTGTTACCAAATAAGCTGGCAGGAGATCCGAGCAGTGTAATGTTTGGCTAGAGCTAAAAATGTATATATGCAATACAATTACTGTACCATACTTATGTAATAGTTCAGATTAAAAAAACACAGGGGACATCTGGTAAATGGACTGGATGGATCTAACATTCACACATCAATTTACACTTTGGAAATGCAGACTGGAGAAGGCAAGGAACAAACCTCAAACCTTCCTATTAGTAGATTACTTGCTCTATCTTTTGACCTACAACCACCCTGAATACAAACACATATACCCTAAGAAGGGTAAGGACTGAATCCTACAGATACAACCGATGAGTCCTTAAAACTGGCACACTAAGCCTTGGTAAAATTGCGGTGTCCATGTGCATGCTGCAATCGTAACTTTTTCATTTAGACTATCTGGGCTTATTTCTGACAGTAAATCTTGCATGAAACAGTTAAACTGGAGGATGGGGAAGACCATTCCCTTCTCATGTTTCTGCTGTTTTATTTATTTTAAAAATATTTCTGATGCTGCAGTTCTTGAGGCTGACTTTCTGAAGTACATTTTAAATGTTAAAAAATAATTTTACCACTTCCTGTTTGTTAACTGAGCTGTCAGGAAAGCCATAATATCTTTCCACTTACACTAATGTTTGTAAGGCTAGAAAACACACACACACACACACACACACACACACACACACACACACACACACACACACACACACACACTAATTGATTGATTAATTGCAATCTGTGTACCACACAGTCAGAATTCTAACTGGTTTGTAAGGGATCAATTACTTATTTCACCAAATATAGTATATACACACACAAAGGCATATTGAGTGTGAGAGCAGCTAACCTGAAAGACAGGATTAGGGATGGATATCGAAACCCGGTTCTTGTTGAGAACCGGTTCCCACTGTTTCAATTCCTTGGAATTGTTTGGCAAACGATTCCCTTATCGATTCCAGTCGCCCTGAATGACGTTGCCACATTGCGGAGCGTCATTTACCTGGCAGGAAACACGGCGCCTAAGCGGCTCAAACGCTCAAAAGTTTGGTTATACTTTACGAGAACGGATGACAACAGGGCAACTTGCAATACTTGCAAAGTAGATATTTCATTTAAGGGAGGAAACACTACGAATATGCAAAAGCTCACAAAACACACGATAACCTTAAATGAATGTCGTGTTTTTAATTCCGCTCCGGACTCGTGAATCTCAACCCAGCAGCAGCGGTAACGTTTGCAGGTCCTCTCCCGTTAATGCGGCAGGTAAATAATCAACTAACAGTGCATATTATGTTAGCGCGATCTGTCTTATTACAAACCTGCTATTACTGTGCATTTAGTGACCATGATGAGAGAGACAGGCAAAGTCCCAAAGCTAGGTGAGTGGCTCTATCAGATCCCAGGAACAACATCCGAGATCTCTGTGCAGAAGAGAGCAGTCCTAGGAACAGCAAAGACAGTGCACAGGACCCTCAAGCTCCCAGGCCTCTGGTAGAGGACCTGAGCTTGAAGGGTATACCGCCCACAGGGGTGAGAGGGGAATTTTTTATAGCTTCATTTAATGTGTCCACCTGTCAAAATTAACTGTTACTCGTTTATATCTTCAGATATTATATTGACGGTATTTTAAAAAAACGCTTGCTTTATTCTGGCAGATAAAATGCATTATCCATTCCCTCTGATCCATGTTTAGTCACTGTTTAACAGATTCAGCTAAGAGCATGTTTTGTTTCGATAAATTTGCAAAGACTGAATATATCACAGCAACATTCTAGGCTTACTTTAAAATAACTTTCCCTCAAGATAAAGACATAAAATGTGTCAAAACCATTCACTTGACATTAATTAGCTAATTAAATGTCTAAACTGGAGGCAAGAACTCGAATCTGCTATAATTAGCTGTGTTCAAAAGTATAAGTTTCTTTCTTTCTGTTTACTTTCTATTGGCCACAATCCTGTTCTTTTATGAAAAATAAAGAGATGCTGGAAAGTCTAGTAATATAGTTTGATTTTCACCCATTTACTTGACATTTTGAAGTGGTTCATGAATTGTGATTATGTGTTTTATTGGTTAATGCCCTTTCATTTTTTCAATCAGCATTTGGCTATTTAATCTTTTGTTTAGTATGAACTTTGTGCTGAGTGTTGACATAAAAACAAAATCTCTCCATGATCATCTGGGGTAAAATTGTCCAGAAACATTTTCCTTCAAAGACCCTGGTCAACTGGTCATCTCAAGAGAATCAGAACACATAAATGTGCACTAGCTAACAGTAAAATGGATTTTAAATTCACTATCACCTAACCCTTAGGCAGCTGAAGAAAAAATGTACATCCAAAAAAAAAACAAACGTTTCTTCTTCACTTTCTTCTTTGAGAATTTTGGCAGAAGTGAAATAACTTTACACTTCTTTCACAGGAAGAGAGATATGAGCATGTGCAAAGTTCAAAAACAGGCGTGTTGGGTTAACTGTTGGTTCAAAATGATGTGAATGAAAATGTGAACGTGTTAGCCCTGTGATGGACTGGTGACCTCTGTCACTAGCATCCCTGAAACACTTTTTTAACCATATGGATAAGTGCTAAGGATAGAAAAAAGGGGCAGAGAAGATTCTGTGTCAATATAAAATGACAAAAACATAAAATCCACTTTTGAAATAGTCCACTTAAAGAGCACTTCAAGGAAGAAACAGAGCTAGTGATTGCCTGCACAGTACATCAGCCAAGAGCATGCGATGTTGCAACATTTTAGAACAGCATTTTAAAGAAGTTTGAACATTTGAACAGCAAGCTGAAGTAATTTAACAGAGCTGTAAAAGAAGAACAGCTGGTAGATACAAAAATCTTTGCAGATAAAAAAAAGGAATTATTTTTAAAAAATGAAGATGCAGGAAGGAAGAAGACAAAGTCACACCTATTTGTCTGCACAAAAGACAAAGAGAGTCTGTACATATTATATGATATGACAGAGAAAAATGGTCTCACTAAAAAACCCCATGCACTAGCCAGTGCAGATCCCTCTCACCTGTAAATCTTGTATCTGGTAGAAAATCCCTGCTGGAACCTCTCTCTGAACTCGGTGTACTCAGGACACCTGTGGAAAGGGCCCTTCTCTGACAGCAGCCAGTCCAGCTGCCCTCCGCTCTGCCTTGTGCTAAAACCCCATGGTGAGGAGCCAGAAGGAGATGTGGAGGAGGAGGAAGATGACGAAGATGAGGGGGACGAAAGGGATCCATGCGGCACCTTTCCGCCATGTCCCACCTGTTCAGCTTGGGTAGGCCACGGCAGCCATAATAACATCCACGGCAACCATAGGAGCATCAAGGATGACGCCAACCATCTAGCAAGGCAGGCGGAGCCATGGGAGCACCTCTCTCTTCTCATTGGCCAAGGAGTTGCCATGGTCCCAGTGGTGATGTACTAGGGCACCTGGGACCGGCATTTCTTCTGACAGTCACCTCCCGCTGGCCTGAATGAAACGGAGAAATGATAGCATGCTGAAACATGTTTTGTAGTAGGAAGGAATTTCTGTTAATTCATAGCTTGTTGTCCTTGACAGACATTGTTGTCCATATATTGTGATTATGAAGGCAGCATAATGCCCCTCTAAGTGGTGTTTACAAAGTTAATATCAATCAAATCAGTGAGAGCGTTTTCATGTCTACTTTGAATGTTGACATGAAAGATATTCTCTGCACGTCTAAAGACACACATAATTATTATGAATAACCATGATCAAATACTAAATGGAGGTTTGCTGTTGCTCATACAGGGAAGTTCAATTATCATGAAACTGCATTTACTGCAGTGCTAATTGAAACTGTCATTCTTCTTAAATGGGGACAAAATCCAGATTGTGTTTCCTTTGCTTCTGTATATACTTGGCCACATAAACATATCTTATATCTGTCTCTTATAGCCGCGTTGACCACAAAGGCATAACATCTGTTTTCACGGCCTTAGAGCAAATCAGCATCACTCCTTTAGTCCACATGGTGGTGATAATAGATCAGAGGTTGGTGAGTAATTGCCAAAAACCTTTCATTCTTGGAGTTCGGTTTTAAAAGCAGCATGTGTGACTAATAATGTCCATAGCAACTGCAAAGCCTTATTGTCTTCCTGTCATCCACACAGATCAGGGCTCATGCTTAAACACGTGCATGTTATGCCTTCCACCATTACTATGGGTGTGAGAAGTTCCTGTTGCAAATTTTTCAAAGGTCACAGACAACAGAGGACTTTCTGACATACTACTTCAATTGAGTTTAATTGCACCTTTTCAACATCTGGCTAGAATGCATCCCTGATTTCAATCCCTCTTTTAGGCCTCGGCAATACCATTAGCTTTTTTTTGCTATGAGAGCTATCCAACCCACAAAAGATGCACAAGTGTTTGAGTGTGCTTAAATGCCTACACATTAATCTCACAATTAGTTTTGATATATACATCACTAAACCTAAACAAATTTGCTTTGGTGTGGAAATGATCAACTTATTTTTATAATAGCTTTACTATTTCACCACTTGCATAGTGTAAGAATTTGGTTGTTAACAGTCATGCACAGTTTGTTTGTTTTTTTCCATATCAAAATATTTCCATTTTTATTTGTTTGTTTTTGGTTTTTGGTTTAATCCTTGGTATTTCTTGGGATTTTACTATTTTTGGTGGGTGCTGAAAAAAGTGCCTAATGGAACAATTGGCACACAGTAACAAGTGCTGTTTTGTTTGACACCATAATGGGCTTCAGGAACAGTCTAGCGACTTCTTAAAGGTACAGAAACATACGGTTTCTTTTTCTGGTAAATAGATGTGGAAAAGGGCATGTGGAATTTCGTGTGAGAATAAAACTTCAGGACTGCATTCATTTCAATTCAATTCAATTTTATTTGTATAACACCAAATCACCAAAGCAGTTGCCTCAAGGTGCTTTATATTGTAAGTTAAAGAACAAGAAAGACAGAGAAAACAAAGAAAAAACTCCAACAATTAGGAAGCACTTTGGCAACAGTGAGAAGGATAAACTCCCTTATAACAGGAAGAAACCTCCAGCAGAACCGGGCTCAGGGAGGGACAGCCATTCATCTCCTTGAAATCAATGTTTAAACTTTTCATCATTAACATTCATTAACAGTCATTAGTGCACATGGTCAAACTTCATGACATTAATTGTCAGACCTTCTGTCCTCAGTAATAGTAACCCACATAGCAAAACTGGTACGGCCCGGATCTGGCCCACGCAATGTGCTTACACGTGACCCGCAAACAGTAACGGCCCTTTGGTGGACCAGATCTGGTTTCCTAGTGGTGGCCCACACATTTGCCAGCACAAGGCCAGTTGCAGACACACTGCTGGCCCAGAACAGTTTCAGCTCTGGCCTCAGATGTCAGCCTAATGTGTACCTGAATCAAGCCATGTAATAACAACATGTGCAAGAACATAATAGCGCATAAGGAACAAGACAAAGCTCTGTTCAGACAATGAATGGACTGAATCTTATACACCCCTTTATCTACTCTCCCATTTTAATCAAAGTGCTCTATACAACATGCCACATTCACACACCTTCTCTAAACTGAGTGCTTCCTAACTACATTTATACTCTTGACATGCAGACTGGGGAAGCCAGGGATCGAACTACTACTTTTCAGATCAGTAGGTGATCTGCTCTACCGCCTCAGCTACAGCCACCCAGTGGAAAACATGAGTAAATCCTCACTAGGTTTTGGATAAAGTGTACACTCACAAACCTGTCAAACTTGCATTTGAAACATTGGCTACCACAGCCGTATAGTATTGCAACATGGCATTTGGGTCTTCTAACTAAAATAGAAAAATAGGAACATAAATAGTGCCTCCATTGCCAGACCTGGCCCACATCTGGTTGACAGACACCCTTCCATGACACCAGTCAGTCAGAAGTGCCAGCTTGATGCCAGATCCAGGGTAGACCTGTTTTCTATGAGCCTAGGCCACATAAACCAATCCACAATCGGGCCAGATATGGCATGCCGTCACATAAACAGTGCCATCTAAGCCAGGCCTGGCCCATATCTGGATGACACACCTCTTACCATGCCAGAAGTCAGCCAGCAGTGCCGGGTTGACACAGACCTGTCTGCTATGAGGGAATGTATGACTGCAGATTCACTTTGGGGGACATGTGTTTGCAGCACTAACACTCACCTAAACCAACTGTGGGAATCTTTTAATCTCATTCAAGTCTGTTAACCTTGATCTTGTTTTGTCATGTGGTTTTATAACATAGATCATCCTGTAATTGTGGATAATGTTTTAACTCACTTGTGTGTTTTCAACCTTTGGTCCCTACAACTGTAGGAGGTTCAGCTCTTCCACAGATACACTACAACACTACAGCTCTTTCCTCTGCTGCTCACAATCTGGGTGTTCAAGAACTCAGTGTTTCTTTTCATGCGTTCTGTACTTGTGCTTTCGATTAGGCTCCACCACTCAGAGTGAGATTTAAAACTTATCCCTGGCTTAATGAATCTGTTAGGGCTGTAAGGAAAGAGAGGAGAGGTGAACACAGCTGGAGGAAAGTTCCAAGTGTCATTAGAAATTAGCCTTTTTCTTTGTGCATGCTTAGTTTCAGTCAAATTATTATACCATATCTTTTCATTTCTATGCAGATGATTTAAAACTGTATTTACCTGGAAATCACTTTTCCATATGAAGGGTCAATAAGTGCATTTTCATTTTTTTGACTTCCCACTGTTAGTTGAGAGATTAAACAATACCCTGTGCTTTTAAACTCTTTTTATGAAAACACAGGTTAAGAACCTTGGAATAATCTTTGACACAAACTTGAGGTGGTGCGGGCATCTGACAAGAATGCCTCCCGGTTGAGGTGTTCTGGGCATGTGCCACCAGGAGG